CCATCTAGTCTATCCAATCAATTTTGAGCACAATGGCCCTACATTACGTCAAAAAATTCCCAACCAGATCTAACCCAACAATCTCTTTTTATTTATTTATAAACTGCACTTGGCCACTCTCCGCCAGAGGTCCTCCAGCGCTGCTAACTCCTGACCGCATTACCCATCACAACAGCGTGTAAACATCCGACCTGTCGCGCGGATGTCAACACTTACCCACTAATTTTAGCACATACAAACAACCTCTCATATCACAAACGGTTTACGCCAACTGACTTAGCTAAAATGCAATTTCTGGCGGATATAAACACACATCCATACACGCATTTAATTTTTAGTACGATCTACTTTAGAGTACCCACGCGGAAGAATACCGGAATGAGACCATAAAAACAGTCTATGTTTGCTACTAATATTGTCCTTCACTAACAGAGACCGATAGTAAACAACACCTTGTGGGTATAAAACTTTCAGTACGTTTCTTAATTCCACACTATATATAAAATTATGTGAAATATTATACTCAACTCTTATGTAGACACATGATCTCCTCGTACAGAGTAAGAAATCCGGACCTCCGCGGAAGAAGGCTAAGATAGACGATGGAGGAGGCGACAGTCGCACCAGGACAGGTCAGTACCTTCTCTGATCATCAGGTGAAATTCTCATGATTGTAAGCAGTAACTACTGCTAAATTATGTCATACTTAGTCTCATAGACTTACCATCACATCCCATTGTTTTCTTGTAATATAATGTTATAGACCATTCTTAACACCCACCCCTTTATTAATAGCTGAGCTTCATGATGATCTAAAGGCCAAGTTCAAAGTTGATCTGCCTGATGACTTCTACCAGCTGTGGGACTTCTGCAAGACTCTGGATGCAGAAAATCCTGCAGGTCGGTATTTCTATTATACTGATGTCAGGCTACAGTATAATGAACTTGATCATGAAAATTAAGGTACATGTATCAAGAGTTTCTTCCATCAAATTCAATTACAGAAGGTAATTCTTGTACCTTTATATGAACGAAACCATGTGAGCAATCGCTGTTTCTGTTTACATCATATGCATGCAAATTATTTGGAGACATGTATGCATATGCGAATTATTGGAAGGCAAAGCAACCAACTGCTTTTTGTCTACTACTGGCTGGCTGTGATGTCATGGTGATTGCTCGTGTTGTTTTCTTGTATTTGGATTTTTTTCTATCAGTTGAAACACTACAACATTTAATTTTCTCTATAGGAGCCTTGGACAGCGCACTTGGCTTGGAGCTTGTTGGTCCATATGATCTCCTGGCTGACAGGGTGGTGACAGAAGGTGCACAGGAAGCAGACTTCCTCCTCCACTGGAGATACTTCTACGACCCACCGGAGTTCCTCACTGTCATGAAGGGAGATGACGAGACACTGCACCACATCGGTTACTTCAGGTACAGGAAGAGTTTTAGGCTGTAACTTTTACTTGTACCTACTTACTTGGGCCCTTGGCCCATGATGATCCTCTTACATCCAGCTCGGTTCTGGGTTTCTATCTCGACATCTTCCCAGCACATCCCCAGTTCAGTCAGCTCCCTCTCCATGTCTCGCCTCCAGTTTTTAAGTTTATCTTACAGTTAAAATGCATGGACATACACTATGCCATGAGGATACTTCAACTGAATAAATGTTTTGAAAAATGTTTTTATTACAGAGATGAACCAAACAAGAAACCAGTGTTTGTGGCTTCGAACCATGCCCAGAAGAACTACACCATTTCTCCTCAGGGGGACAACCTGTTTGCAGCTGTCAAGTATGTGTCTCTTTTACTGCCATCTTGTCTGTAGCCTTTTTGCTACCGATTGTGAAAGGTAAATGAAAAATTGGTGTAAAGACCTGTTTTGTCAACTACATGTAGATGCCTGTAACCTGCACGCTACCTACTTTGTTTTATTGTGTAGATTGCATCTCAACAAAGTTTTGAAACAAACGAAGGACAAGAAGAAGAAAGAAGAGTTGAACAAACTGTCTGCCAAACTGGAACAGCAGGCAAAGGAGGGAGGGTACTCACTGGAGGAACAGCCAGCATCTTTCAAGGCAAGAAGGAAGAAGGTAATGAATTCCTTTCTACCAGTCTTCATTTTCTTGCAATATAATTTTAGAACTACAGAACCAAAATGTAACACTTGTCAAGACATACTAAAGGATAAATTCAGTTTAATCTGTTTGTTACAAAATCACTGTATTGGTAAAAAATATGTTTTTGTCATTGTCACAGATGGTGACCCCAACCTTCCATGGTGCAGGAATAGTGGTGCCCCTGGACAGTAATGAGGTGGGGTATAGGGAGCTACCTGAGACTGACGGTAAGGAACCCCAGCATCTGTGTTGCTTCTTTCCTTCCACATTGCACTACAATAAGTTTCTCTTCAGTTGTATTTTCATACATTAAGTGAAACATGCAATGACAATGAACAG